TGGACTGGGAGCTATCCACGTGGGTCGGCTGTTTGCTTTCTGTGGGAAACAGCACATCTTGTCAGAGCTGATAAGACAGCCTTCTGGTAGCCGGGCACGCTGGCCCTTGTCTCGCAGGAGACCAGGTGAAGCCTCTGCCCTCATTGGCCTTCTATGCGTAAAAGAGACCCAGGCGACCGGGTCTCGGCGCACATTCAAGCAGCCCTTAAATACCTGCCTCCCAAAGCCAGCCAGAGTTGCACTTAGTTTGGGGGCACATTTATCTAAAAACGTCTTTCCTGTCAGTTTTCCACTGCGTGATGGAACACCGCGGCCAAAAGCAACTTGGGGGACGAAAGGGTTTATTTCAGCACACAGTTCTCAGGTCACACCTCGTCACTGAAGGACGGTCGGGGCGCGGACTCACGCAGGGTGGGAGCTGAAGCAGAGAGACCTCGGAGGAGCTCTGCTTATGAACTCCTCTGTAGGGCTTGCCCAGCCCCCTCGACTACAGCACCCAAGACCACCAGGTCAAGGCGGGCACAGCCCACGGCGAGCTGGGCCCTACCACGCCACTCATCGGTCAAGAAGACGCACCGCGGGCTTGCAACCACAGGCCAGTCTGGGGAGGGTATTTTTTTTTCTCGACTGAGGTTCACTTTTGGCAAATGACTCTCGTGTCAAGTTGACACAAAGCCAGCCAGCATGCAGAGGGTTTGTGATCCTAAGGGGCTACCCCGATAATAGCCCTTCTTTATTTATCCTTCTTTTCCTTTCTTGAACTCACTATGCAGACCAGGCTGGCCACACTGTGCCTCTGCCTCCCGAAGGCTGGGATTTAAAGGTCTGTGCTACCACGGCCAGCGGCAGCTCTTCTTGGAAAGAGCACGTCAGAGGGGCAGTGGGGTGGCCCACCCCTCCTTCCCTCTCTCCTCTTCCTACCCCACATTCAATTAAAAAGAAGGAAAAACAACTGATTCACAAATCGGGTAACACTGCATGCGAGGGGGGAAAAACAGTGTAAACAAGGAAAAAAAACAGAAATCATCGCATAACAGAATCTACAAGGACCCCAGGGTGGGTTGCCAGGCCTCAGACTTGATACTATCACCTATTCTCCGTCTGACCCTGGGGCTCAGACCCTGACCCAGGCTACATGCTTGGTCTTCCCAGGGGATGGGAGACCCCCCAAAAAAACCTACGTTGTCGGAAGTACATCAGATGCCTCAGGGCTGTGTGCAAGATGACCCCCCAGGCCACCTAGGAAGAAAGGGCAGATACAGATGAAGCGTCCTCTTCCTGGGGAGGGATGGTAAGGAGGCCGGGACAACCGCCCCGGGACCTCTGACTGGTAACCTCGACTTGCCTGCGAGTCTGCTATGAGAGAATAGTTGCAGGCGTTTGAAATGCACAGCAGGGCTCAGCAAAAAAAAAAAAAAAAAGGAGCCAGTTAGAAGATCTTTCTCACCCCCACCCCCACCCCCACCCCACGACCTATCCCTCACAGGCTGGCACGCAGAACTGCCCTCTCTGGACAGAGGAAACAGCCATCGTGGCAGCTCTCCGTGCAGGAGCCCCGCGGTCTGGCGCCTCTTTCTGCCAGAGGACCAGCGGTTCTCCCACAGATCTGGAGAACGGCGCCTGAGGCCGGTGGAAGGTGCACTACCAACAGCCACGGAGGCAGCTTCCGCCGCTCCAGGGTGGGGTGGGCTGCTCGTTTCTGAAGGATCCGGACGCGGGGATGAAAACCCTCACAAACGTGGGTCTGCGCTTTTTGTGGGAGGAGGAATCTTTGATTTAAAAATAAACAATCGCGCTGCCGCCGCCGCCCGCCGCGCGGTTCACAAAGCCAGCCAGCTCCTGCCTCTCTGCCGGCTCTGCATCTTAGCTCTGCGTGGGCTAGCTGGTGAATGAGAGCCCGCGTGGGCAAGGGGGGGCCGGGGGGGGGGGCGGGAACAATGGGTCAGAATGAACATTCTGTGTGAGAGGTGGGATCCAGCTTTGACCAGTTCAGGGCTGTTGCTTTAGGCAGGGGGTTGGCAGGGTCCTTTGCCCTCCTGTCCCTTTCCGTGTGGGGGCTGCCTGAACGAGTTCACAAACCAGCCTCCGTGGAAGGACAGAATGGCAGCTCGTGTTCCAACTCCAGACTTCAGGACAAAAGTCCTGAGAACCTGGAGACAGGAGGTCCTGAAGTTCCAGGCAGAGGATGGCGGGAGCAAGGACACCCAAAACTGGGAGAATATGAAAAGAAAGTCAACCGGGCTGTCATGAGATTCCTGCCCCCCCCAGCCCCAATTCAGCTATAACTGGTCTCCTAGATCCGTTAAAATCATCAAGGATCCTTTCCTGCCAGAGATACAGGAGATGGGGAGGTCCCAGTGTGGGAGCTAAAGTGGCAGAGAAGGCAGTATGAAACCAGGCAAGGGTCCAGGGGGCCATATCCAGCATCCTGGAGCATGGCCCAAAGCCTTGAGGACAACCCCAGGCATGCCACCGAGGGCCCTGGGTCCCACCGAGAGCTTTGGCACCATTTAAATGGGAAGATCACCCCAGCTAGCTAAGGTGTCCTCACACACAAAAAGAATCAGTCAGTCCTTCCATCCTGGTGACATGTGGCCCTAGTTCTAACTCATAAGGCTATTTAATGCAATGGAGGACCAGAAACAAACAAACAAACAACAATAATAATAAAATAAAAAAAAAAAACAAGGTGGCTTTCCTTCAACCGTCTGTTCTGTGAGCCTCAGCCAAAGATTAAGTATTAACAGCTAAATAAAGGAGTCGATGTTAGGACTTGGGAGGGGTAGCTCAGCAGCAGAATGCTTGCTTGGCAGGTACATGGCCATGGGTTCAATTCCCAGCACCAGGAGGAAAGGGGTGGGGATTGACCACAGAATCAAGCTTTGCCAGATTCCTCCCTTTGTGTCTTCAATTACACACAAATAGCTTGAGTCAAGGCTACTGCCATGACAGGACCACAGAGGACACAGCAGCAGCTACTCCCCCCCAAGGTGATCGGCCCTATGCAGTCTCTGGCATCCTAAGAATGGACAGCCCTGCACAGGGAGTGCTGTGTATGTAGCCAGCCCAAGGGGGAGGCAATACTGGGGTCAGTGCATACTATTGAAGCCAGATCCAAGTATGGGGGGGGGGGGGGAAAGGGGCTGTAACTGTTGCCTAGAGGCTACAGTGCATTCCTGGTGAAGCCTGGGTCTGCACTGTTGCCCCACAAAACCCACGATTCCTGAGACGGCCTTATGAGCCATGGTGTGTCACAGACAGTGACAGCATGCCCACCCCAAGGTGGACAGGGCAGCAGTCACCGGCCTGACCCTTGGGGCTGAGCCATCAGACAAATACTTCTGCCATGCTCGGGGCGGGACAGCGATGCAGGCCACACCTTTCGGGTGACAGGGCTCCACTTGGCTTGTTGTCAAGACAACGCTGCCATGCCGTGACGGCTCAATGACTTCTTTCCAACACTTCCACTCTGGGTTTCCTTTGCCACCCCTCTGGCTCCCACCACCTTCCCTTTTCCTTTGTGCTTTTAGCAAAACGCTATGAGCTGGCCATTGCGAGGGGGGAAGCAGTTCCTCTCCCGTGCCATGAGGGAGGTCCTTCTAACCCCCCCAGCCCCCCCCCTCCGGCTGCTGTCCTGATTCTCCCTGACCTGCCTCCAGCCTTGCACGGTGTAAATGGTAGCTCTAGTCTGACCAATCTGAGCAGTCAGCCCTCCCGTGAAGTGACAGGCCAGTTTGTAACCAGTAAGAAAGGAATATGGGAGGGAAGACTGGTGGGTGTCTTAGCCTTCTGGGCTCATCTGGGGTGAACTACAAGGGAAAAGCATCACACACACACACACACACACACACACACACACACACACATTTGGCCACCCAGTAAGGAGTAAGGGTCCTGGGACAAATAGACTAGGAAAAAAAAAGACCTATTCAGAGAGTCTCAGGTAATGGGCAGGGGCTTCCTTCCCAACCTAAATATTTCCTCCAGCTGCAAACTTGACTAGACCGTCGGTGTGAGGAGATTAGGAAGCCAGGACAGCTGGGGGAACGAGCCCTACACCAACCCAAGGGCCGGTAGAGCAGTAAAGCCCACCTCCTTCCCTGCGGTCCCCTCCTTGGAGTTTTGCATGGTGGAAACACCCCTGAAGACCAGAAAGAAGCAGGGAGAAGGAGTGGAGGCTGAGGGGAGCTCAGGCCGGGGCTGCAGCTCACCCCCTCTCCACCTACCCACAGGCGTGCGCACTCTCTCCAACCCTGAAGGTTCTAGTCCATTATGCGTGGTAATTCTGGCCCCAAAGCCGCTTACAAACATCGGTTTTATGGTAAATCTCCTTAACAGGCAAGATTAGCAGGAGGGAGGTGCCATGTCAGAAAGGCCACCAATTCCGCCCTCCCTCCCTCACTCCCTGTCGCCTTTCCTTTTCCTTCCGCGTGTCAGGAAAGGAAAATGTCGTCTGGTTTCCACCAGCAGACCGACCGAGGCTTTTGCCTCCTGAGCCAGGGCAGGGTGTAGCACAGGTGCAGAGCAGGGTAGCAGGAGAAGCCAGGCTGGGTGGGAAGGGCCCAGCCACGCACTCAGCCGCCACCTGGCCCTCCGGGCAGCACGCGGAGCCCAGGGACACGTAGGGAACACGAGAGAGAGAGCAGAGCGCGCGAGCGAGAACGCAGGGCTCGCGGACACTCGGGGGCACGCGCAAAGCGCGGACACTGGGAAGAGAGAGGGTGCGGGGCGTGGGCTCAACCGTGTGGTCGAGCCGTCCCGGGTCCCTAGTCCCTGACTCCCGGAGTCCGTGGCCAAAGGGGGTGGGGTCGGCAACCGGGGGAGGGAAACTGAGGCGGGGGGGTAGGCGAGCGAAACCCGCCCCACGTAGCCGGCGAGGACCGGAAGACGCACGGCGGGGGCCGCGCGGGGCCTGCGGCTGCGCACGGGCACGCGGGACCCAGCTCCTGCTCCCGTCGTTCTCCCCCCCCGGCCTCCCCTCCCCGGCGCCCCTCACTCACCCAGGCGCCCCGGGAGCTGCCGGCCGCCGCGGGCAGACGCGGGGGCGGGCAGGGCGCGAGGCAGCGGCGGCGGAAGCAGCAGCAGCAGCAGAAGCGGGAGCGGCGGCCCCATCCCCGCGGCCGGTTGGCGCTCAGTCCATGGCCGCGAGCGCGCGGGCGCGCGGGAGCGAGGGACCGACCCCGGGGTGTGTTAGTTAGCGAGGCGGCGCCAGCTCCCCTGGCTGCGCTCTTCGGCGCTCCTGCGGCGGCGCCGGCCGAGCTTCAGCACCGGACAGCGCCACCGGCCCCACCCCCGCCTCCGGGCCCGCCCATGACCACGCCCTCTGCCAGCCATGCACGCTCCGACACGCCCACCTCGCCGGGATGGGCCGGAGGCGCGCGCTCCCGGGGAAGCAGCGGTCCCTGTGCCGCGCCCCCGACCAGCGGCTGCTGTCCCTGCGCTCCGAGACCAGGACGTGGAGGGAGACACCTTGGAAGCGCGGCTGTGCTACTGCGGCACCAAATTCCTCCTTATTCGGTTGTGTTCAAATCCAGCGGGCGGGTAGTTAGTAAGCGGCCGGCGGCAGTGGGGTCTGCACCCGAAGGTGGGCAGAGTTTGGTCTTGGCAGTAGGAAACTAAGCTCGCACGGAGAGGAAGCCTGAAGAGGAGGTTGACGGGATGGAAACTCTAGGCAGAGGGTCGGGAGGGGGATGTCCCTCCAACAGCACAAGAGGAGCCAGGATGGCCGTGGTGTGTACCCCGTGCTGTGGTGAGGCCAGGGTTTCAGACACGTTTGCCTGGGGTCCTTCCATGCTCGCAGTCCAGCCCATCTCTGGAATGGCCAGAGGGATCTTGGCCATCGCTGCCAGTGCTGAGGGACCCAGTGTAGGTTCTCGGGCCGCTCTCCCAAAGACCCCCTGGACAAAGGCTGGATTCGATGGGGCCGGCGGTGCCCCTGGCATCGGAAGACTGTGGGAGGGTATGTGTGTCAGTGGGTTTGTTTTGACTGTGGCAGTCCCCAAGTAGGCATGTTGGCATGTGAGGGGACAGGCCACTCCCCGCCTCCCACCCCGGCTTCTTCCATAGAGCCAGTATCTTCCCCGCTCGCTCATGTCCTCCTGTGGCACTGCTGGGAGCCCTGGCCACCCATACCTGTTTGCTCCCCTACCGGGCCAGCCTTCCCACTCGCATCCCTGCCCTCAGTGTCCCTTGGACACAGTGTCCCTCGGTCACAGATGGCCTCTATTTGTTCTGGCTGGGGTTTGGAGTGGCAGTGAGGGAGTTATAGTTCTGCCTGGCCTGTCTACAGCTAACAAGACGAGGTGTTGGGCCTGACGGTTCTGAGATCTCCTACTTCCGGCATCTGTGGGCCCCATCCTGACTCACCTTCAAACCTTTTGTCTCTGGCTCCCAGTAACAGCTCCCTTTTGCCTCAGTCTCCCCTTCAGGCCTGGTGCCCCCCTCCCCCCACTTGGGGAAGTGAGAAGTTACCCTTATTCCCAATGGCCTTGGAGACTCCATGGGAGAAAAAGCGCCCACTCCAGAGGACAGCAGCGTTCACAGTGACACTGTCCTCTACAAAGCCAGACCAGCCATCGCCTATGGTCCTGCAAAAGTCTATCTGTTTAGGAAGGACGATGAGCCTAGAAAAAGAAAAAAAAGTTGGCCCTACTTGCCATTTTCAGTAGCCTAGACTGTGTGTCAGCCGTTAGAACTTGGCACTTCCCCAAATTGGTACAAGACCCTTGAGCAGACATCAATGAGATTGATTCTCTCACAGACTCTTAAGAACTGCTGCCAGTGTCCTGCGTCTCAGCCTAACTTAGAGCATCATGAGTGAGCTCAGGGGCGTGGAAGGAGGAAGGATGGATGGAGTACCCACCTGACAGCCTGGATGGGCAGATATGTCCCCCGAGATCCTAATAGTCGTCTCATGATTTGGGGACAAGAACAAAGGGAGGAGAAAAGACAGGAGGCTAAATAGGTCCTTCATCAAAGCAGTATTCAGACATCGAGGGCAGGAACATGCCACTGTTGGGTGAGTTGTCAGAACACGGCCTTACCAGCATGCCCTAATGCAGTCTGCAGTTTCTCCAGTGCAGAGGAACAGCTGAGTAACACAGCACTTGACTAAGGGAGAGTCGCTACACCTCCGTGCAGAAGGGCCACCTCCCCCCCCAAAGCCACACCTGACCACACCTGCAGTGGCCCAGGGACTTGTGGAGCCTATGCCATCTGTCACAACCATAGGCAGCTAAGTAGGGCACCAGGAAGATCCAGAGGAGCTGGCCAGAGCAGCCTGTACCTACATCCTGGAGCACTGTTTATTCTGGGCTGCGGTGTCTCTCTCTCTCTCTCTCCCTCCTCATCCAGCCTTGTTTGCAGTTAAACAGGTTCTAGGTTGGGGTTGTTTGCCCTTTCATTATTTGACTTGCTGATTAACAGTTTCCTGAGCAAGGTCCCATCTCACTCCAAGGGCTCCCGAGCTTCAGAGCTCTGTGTCGGCATAAAGGTAGAAGGAAACGCCCAAGAGGGAAAGTGAAAACACAGGAGGGGCTGCAAAGTTTACCAAGAACAAAACCAGCACAGCTCTGAGGAGATGGCTCAGCAGACAAAGCACCTCCCGGGCATGCGTGGGACCCGTATAAAGCTAGGCACGACGGCACCAGCCTGTCGCCCTGCTCCCACAGAAAGGTGAGAGGCAGAAATGTAAGAACCCTGGGAAGTAAGGCAGGCCAGCACAGAGAGTAATTCACTAACCTGGAACCATGCTTGATTTAGGTCCCGCACACATTCCCGCTTCTAAAGGTGCATTTCGCAGGCTGGCTCCCTTATTTACATGTACTATACGCACACACATCCCTCTCTGAGAACAACACACCCCAGCCTTGGACCTCAACCTGCTCTCCTCCCTTTAAACCATCAAACTCCGACAGTTTATACCCAAATGCCTTCCCAGTACATCCTGGAGGGGCAGCCAGAATGGCTTTAGGGTTAGTGTGGTGCAATAGGGGAAAATTATGAAAACTGTGTCTTCAAAGGAACTTTCAGAAGGAATCTATTTACTGTCTTATGTCTATGCACAATTGAGTATGCTTGTAATTAAAGTCAAATAAATTATGGGGAGAGCCACAAGCTACCGGGAAAATGATTATAACACCTTATCCATCAAAACAGGGTAACAACTTCAATTAGACCCCTTAACAACCAAACTCCTCCTCCTCCTCTTGAACTCCACAAAAGGAAGAATAACTGGGGGCCTGAGTATCCTTCTCCTCACAGCCAGCTCTCCATCATGACAGCAGCTCCCTCTCTAATCTGTACTGTTGCTTCACTGTGAATAATATTACCTTGCTACTTGTTGCAAATCTGCACGACCCTCTATTTCAACTCTTTCAGTAAGATGCCAAGACCTGGAAGCAAGCTTTATGGGCCAGCTAGCCCCGCCTATGCTGCAGCAAACAGCAAAAGGAAGACCGTGTCTTGAGGTATGAGTCAAGGACTGACAAGGGATGTCCTCTGACCTCCATGCCATGATATACATGCCCACAGACACATATCATGTATACACTCAGATAATATAGGCACCCACACCACAGGAAAAAATAGTAATGAAAACTAAGGAAGAAGTCTAAAGCCTTATAGCTACAACAGAGAGTTCATGGCTGGCATCATCTGTTCCTCCTAATCTGGGCTCTACACAACGACCAGGACAGATAGACAGAAAAAAAGAGCTGGGATCCCCCTCCTTCCCTCTCCCTCTCTCCTCCCTCTCCCTCTATCCCTTCCTCCCTCAATCTTCCTGTCTTTCTCCCTCCCTCCCTTCCTCTCTCTCTCTCTCTCTCTCTCCCTCTCTTCCCCCTCTATCTCTCCTGTCACTCTCCCTCTCCTCCCTCCCTCCTCTCTCTCCCTTCCTATCTCTGTCTGTCTCTCTCCTTCCCTCTCCCTGTCTCTCTCCCTTCCTCCCTCAGTCTCCCTCCCTGTCTTTCTCCCTCCCTTCCTCCCTCCCTCACTCTCTCCTCTCTCCCTCCCTTTGTCTCTCCTTTCTCTCATTTTCCTCCCTCCGTTCTCTCTCCTATCTCTTTCCCTCCCTCCTCTCTCCCTCCCTCCTCTCTCCCTCCCTGTCTCTCTTTCTCCTCTCTCCCTCTCCCTCCTCCCTCCCCCTCCTCCCTCCTTCCTGACTGTGACTTCAGTATGATCTCATGCTCCTACCATGATGCTTTTCCCACCAGGATGGGCTGTGTCCTTAAACCCTTCCTCTTTTAGGTTGCTTTGTCAGTCACTGTTGCCTGGGCTGATAATCATGGGGCTCATAACATGCCAGGTGTTTGTTTTCTCACGATGAGAACACACCCCTTTCCTCTGCAATCCTCAGGCCTTAGTCCACATGGCTCCTTCACAGGTCCCATCTACGTGAGGAGTCCCACAGTGGGACTTGGGGGTCACAGGGCTCACATCCCTGTTCTGCAAACCCTTGGTCAATCTGATAATCTCACTACATTTGTCAGTGCAAGTTGACCAGAACTATGGTGATGTTTAGCAAGGACTAGAAATCATTCAAAACAGGATTAGATTGCTATGCATCTGATTTTCTTTTTAAAAAGTCGCAGGGCTTACACCTGACAGACAGACGATGGCACCAGGAAATGTCATGATTTCCTTCTGCAGGGAGAAGGCCAGGAGGTTGGTGTCTTCAAGCGCCCATGGCTGTTGAAACAACTCCACAAAGGACAAACACAAGGGAAGAATGGCAATTTGAATGCAATTGGCTACTATAATCCCATAGGAAGTGATGCTATTAGGAGGTGTGGCTTTGTTGGAGGAAGTGTGTCACTGTAGGGGTGGGCTTTGAGGTTTCCTATGCTCAAGATACCACCTAGTGTCATTGAACATTTCCTGTTGCCTTCTGATCAAAATGTAGCCAGCACCATGTCTGGCTACACACTGCCATGCTCCCTGCCGTGATGATAATGGACTGAACCTCTGAATTGTAAGCCACCACCTCAATTAAATGTTTCCCTTTATAAGAGTTGGCATGGTCATGGTGTCTCTTCACAGAAATAGAAACCTTGGGCTGGAGGGATAGCTCAGCCATTAAAGGCTAGGCTCACAACCAAAAATATAAGAGAGAAAAAACCTTAACTACAACAGTAAGCTTTTAGAGCAAGTGGTCAGTTAGCTTCTGCATGCTCCCTGCTGGGGAAGTAAAATGCCTGGGGGAGGGGGGGAGGGACAGGCTCAATCCTGTTCCTTTAGAGAAATGTTTCAGTTCTTACTAAAGGACACAGTATGTTTCATTTAGTAACATACCACCTAGTTAGTATGTTACTAATTAAAACAGCCCAAACTGCCTGCCTCCCACTTTTCATTGCTTTCTCCACCATTTAAACAGCCCACCCTGCTTGATGAACAACAGCAAGCACGGCCGTCATCCCCTGGAGAGGACAGCCAGGATTTGGGACGTGAAGTCTACTGTAAACTCTGCAGGAATAGCAGCCAGTCCTTCTGACCCTTGCAGAAGCTGAGTGTAGCTCTGTTGCCTGTAAACGCCACCCCGTTCCATGCTGTCCCACAGGAGACTTTGCCTCGATTCCCCGCTACAAGGAGTGACCCTGCCCCAAGAGAGTGACTCTGCTCTTCAACAACAATGTCACTGACTCCAGAGTGCAATTCCAGAGTAGGAGAAGAAAGGAACACACGATTCCCAGTATTGCTCCAGGATCCTGAACCTCTGATGAACTGGGCTTAGTATGCTATATATACTGTGTTAACAGCATTTTGCTAGTTAGGAGACAGCAAGAAACAAAATCAAGAAGTCTGGATTGTTTACCCTGGCGGTGTGGTATTGGTAGTGTTGGTGGGGAATATCACGGTGGTGGTGGTTAGGATTGTTTTTGGTAGTGATTCTTTTTTTTAAGATTTATTTATTTATTATGTAAACAGTGTTCCACCTGCGTGGATGCCTGCAGGCCAGAAGAGGGCACCAGACCTCACTACAGATGGTTGTGAGCCACCATGTGGTGGCTGGGAATCAGACCCAGGACCTCTGGAAGAGCAGCCAGTGCTCTTAACCTCTGAGCTGTCTCTCCAACCCTTTGGCGGTGACTCTAACGTTCGATGTGCTGGTGGTGATGGGCGATGGTTGCAGCAAATGTGACGGAAAAGATAGAGGGGGGTTGCTGACGGAGGGGGGGAGGGGGGGTTGATAATGGTGGTCATGGGGTGATGGGTGGGTGCTAACGGTGGTAAGGTGGCAGGTATTATCGACAAGTATCACTGAAACATAAATCGCACCCTTGATGAGGGTGTAGTTGACTATTTATTGTGGAAGGTGCTTACAGGAGAAACTGACAACCCTGGTGAGTCAGTAGCTTTCCGAGACCCCATCGGGAAGCCCGAAAGAGAGCCGTGCATCTCCCCTGCACGGCCTTTTATTCCCATGTCCGTCCGTATCTGCCTCTAGCCACGCCCAAAGCGGGCGTGGTCAGTGGCACAGGTATGGAAGATCTCTCCCCACAGGCGTGGTTAGGGTCTGTGTGGCTGTGGTGAAGGCGGTTGTGGTAAGAGCGGTGTTGACGTGAAGGCTAACTGTGGGGTTGCCAATGGTAGCAGCGGAGACAGAGGTGGTGGTCACTGGGGCTGGCTACGGCAGTGGTTACTTGGCGAAGGCAACAGGCGGCGATGGCGGAGGTGGTGATGGCTGTGGCGGTAACGGCGATTTAGAGATAGGAGAGTCGGTGATGTGTTGTCTACACAGGCCTTCCCCCACTGCACGGCCAAGTGAGCTTTGATTTTTCCCCCTTTAGGACTGCTCCCCCGAAAGGCTTACACCCCCAGAGCAACTCAAGCAGGCCACCTCCCCGGAATGCGAGTGTGAGCGGAGTTAAGCAAGATGCGGCTGGGGTGGCCGCGTAGATACAGCACCCAGACCCAGCCCCTGGTGCTGGCGGCTCCTGTCCTGTCCCTGTTTGCACCTTGTCCCGGACCTCTATGAACCAGTTGCCTTCTGATAAGGTCTGCGGTTCCTGCCTTCTTTTTAGTCACTCGATTTAGAAACCTGGCAGTCCCTGTAAGGAGCAGCGGAGGTGCCGTCACGACATCTTTGCTAGGGAACAACAAGCTGCCTGTGATCCATAACAAGAAACATCCGGAACCTCTGAAGCGCCAATTGAGAAATTTCCTAAGATAATCTTGTATTAAGTTCACGGTTTTGCGCATCCGAGCTGAGCTGGGGTGCATGCTGTAATTTAAAAATCGGGTGCGAGAAAGGCGCAGTGCAACCGAGCTCACATGGCGTAGTCTACTTATTAGGGGAAAGGGAATGGGAAAGGGAGGGCGGGGAGGGGGGAAGACCAGAGACTGGCCTGTGGGGACAGAAGCAGCAAAAGAGAAAAGAGAGACTGGGGCGTGGGGAGAAGCGGAGAGAGGAAGGAAGGGAGGGAGGGGGAGGGCGGAGATGGGAGATGGGCTCTTTCGAAAGGGAACGCAGTGAATGTGCACAGGTGATGCTCCTAGTGACCGCAGCTGAGGGTGTATCCATCAGGACCCCAAGGACAGGCCAGTGCAGATGCCTGAATACTGACTAACACATGTGGCCTTCAGACCTGAGCCCTCAGCCCCATTTCCTGGTCCTTTTCTCCGGGAAATGACAGAATCCGTCCAGGAACCTGAAAGCCTGAGACACGAAGGATCACTTGAGCCCGGCGGTTCAAGACCTGGGAAACAATAAAGAGACCAAAAACCCTCCTAAAGCCAGCTCCTCAGACAGCGTGCAGCCTTCATCAGAGCGAGGGGCTGCCAGCTCGGACAGGATAATAACTGCCTGGCCCTCCAGGGGCTGAAACACTTGGTGTCACCGGGGGCTCACACGCTCGAGTCTTCCACCACAAGAGAAGGCTCAAGGAAGAGAAGACCGGAAAGAAAGCCCACCAATCTGACTCACTGCGCTCTCCCGACAAACGGTAGGAAGCTCTTCACTGCCGCCGGCCTGATGAAATGATAAAGAACTAATACCCGGGGATGCCCAGAACATGCCCAGTCAGGATGCCTCGTCCTGCATCCCCTGCCCAATGAGCCAAGAGTCTGGCCCGCCTGGGATCATGCTCTCCTCCAGGCTCTGGCTATGTTTTGTTTTGTGCTGGCCCGTTTTGTTCTGGGCAGGTTGAGAACTATCAGCCTGCAATCTCAGTGTGCCCAGGTGTTGCTGTGTGTAATTCACTGGCGATCCTACGGGGAGGCTCTCCGTTTCCATTAGCGATTTGGGAAGGCCTCGTTTATAACTCACCTTTCAGTCTCAGGGATATAAAGGACCCAGAAAGTCTTAATTAAAACCACTTAGCTCCTTGGAAAGATTTGCGCTTCTGACAATGAAACAGAGCCTGGGCTACTGGGATCTGAGCCCACGTCCTAAACTGTGTTTCAGAGGATGTTCACCGTCAGCCATTTGGACTGTAGGTCTCCGCTGAGGGACATCAGAGGACCAAGTGACTCTGAGGATGAAATAGAAACCCCCCAGTCTGAGTATCCTCTATGCTGTTCATACTTTAAAGCATTAACCTCTCCACTAACTGCAGCACCCAGGCACGCGCGAACACACACACACACACACACACACTCACACAGACATTATTAGTGGACATCTGTGGCTGCATCTCAGCACCTTCCATGTGCCCTCTGCCCGTACGAGATTGGTAGTAGCAGCTCCAGTTTAAGAGATGAGAGGCCTCTGAAAGGCTGTAACTTCTACCACTAGTAAGATTAAACAAGGGTATTGATAGGTTTGGTTTTTCCCTACTGAAGGGCATCTCAGTGGCCATTGCACAGAATCCAGGCTGGGAAACATTGTCAGGAGATGGGGGCCTGTGAGGGACCGCAGGAGGGAACTGTGGCTTACTCGGGTTACACTTGTAATCTTAAAGCTGGCTGTCAGAGGCAGGAGGATCAGAAGTGAGACTCTGTCTCTAAACAAACAAAATAACTCGAAGAAGCTCCTGCAAGTCAAAGATAATGACCACAATGTAATAAAATGTACCACGAATACAAAGACATGGTGGGCAGTGGTGGTGCACACCTTTAATCCCAGCAAGGGAGGCAGAGGAAGCCTAGCCCGTAGAGTAAGTTTGGGGCCACCCAGGGATACAAGAGACACCTTGTGTTTAAAAAAGAAAAGACAGAAATACACGTTTATTCTTAATGATACTAAAAAACATCCCTGACAACTAAAGGATTCTGGCACCAAGCCAACCTTTTAAAAGCTGATTAGCAGGGGAATCCAAGTATTCATCTTGACCTTGTTGCATCAGATATTTAGGTCACTGCATGATTTTTTGAAGGATTTTTTCTTTATAGTGAAAGTGCATATGATCAACACAAAAGAATGATAGATTTTAAAATTTGCCATTTCTTATCTCATAGTATAAAAATAATGTAGATGCTTTGGCAGCCCGTGTACTAAAATTGGACCGATGTAGGGAAGATTAGCATGGGCCCTGAGCAAGGATGACATGCAAATCCTTTCAAGGTTCCTTATTTTTAAGACAGCATATTGCCCAACCCTCATCAACAAAACTTCTTTTTGCAGTAGATGGCAATTGGCACAAAGACCCACCAACTGGTCAATATGCAGCTGAGCACGAGGCTTTGGAGTGCCTAGTCCTGAATGGGATGCTTACGTCATACCCATTCCCACCAAGGATGAGGAGAAATCTATGCAAAGGAGGGGGCAGAAAGACCACGAGAGCCAGAGGCACTTCAAGAAAACAGGGTTTTCTAAAAGCAACAGGGCGGATGTACATATGACCTCACAGCAACTGTGGCAGCACACGCAAGACTTGCCCAAGTCCAGACAGACAAATCCCAGCCAGGAGGAGGAGTGGGCATAAAGTCCACCCCAGCTGAAGGGCTCTTGGCATCTGATCGCTGCTCCAAGAAGATAAATTAGTTTTCTGTAGCTAGTACATCAACCACACTCCAGGGCAGGCCTCACACCCAGGAATAGTCCCGCCCACACAAACTGGACCTTTGAAAAGGAGGAGAGGAAAGGGAAAAGAGGAGATGAACATGAAGTTGGGTGGGCAGGGAGGTGGGAGAGGATCTGGGAGGAGTTGGGAGGGTGCGTCTGATCAGAACACATGGTATAAAATCCTCAGAGAATTAATAAAACCATCATTAAAAACAATGCAGGTAATAATCATTAGGACTGTCGCTCCCTCACAGATAAAGTCACAGCACCTGCAATGTCCACAACACAGCAGGGAGTGCTCAGTGTTCCTGAGGAAAACGGAACTCTAGCCTTAACTAGCCTCTACTCATCCGCAGGGGAGACGGAGATAGACAAGGGTGAATTAAAACGCATGGCGAATGTACAGAATGCCTCAAGCCACCCGGCCTCTTCCAAAGATCCACGTGGGAGAGAGAAAGGAACTTGTTACATATTGAAAGTGTTAAGGAACATATGAGTTAATTAGTTAGAAACCAGATTTTAGCAAACCGCTGTGAAAATGCATCTTCAGACAGAAAGACTTGGATAAACAGAATTAGATGGCAGTGAAGTACATCATCCAACAAGTTTAGTAATATCGACATAATTAAGCCTGGTATGAAAAGTGGTTTAAGCAGCTTTGCTTCACATGTTTTGGAACCTTAACTGATTGACTTTAAGGGTCTTGTTGTCAACGGTGTTGTAATATGACGTGTATGTGGGGCACGTGTACCATAGTGCACGTGTGGAGGTCAAAGGACAAGTTTTGGGGTTGTTTAGCTACTTCCGTCTTTATGTGCATTCCGTGGATGAAGCGTAGTTTGTCACTGGAGGAAAGATTTTTGAGGTAAGCCCAGGCTGGTTAGGGATCCTCCTACCCCAGCCCACCAAGTACTGAGATTACAAGTTTGTAACACCATGCTTGGGGGAAAAATCTTCAAGTGTGGTAATTGTCTCATTTTACTGAAGACAGTTTAACGACGAGTGATGCATTCAGAGAATTTGTGAGGCAAATTGGGCAAAGCCTGAGGTTTGCCATAAAAATATTATGGTGGTGACAAAAACGACGACGAAAAGGAAGCTTAGTGAGGCTGTTTGCAACGATCTCTGCTTTTCCCTCCACGTTTGGAAACGAGAGCTGTCTCACATAAAAGCACTGTGGAGTAAAGGCCCTTTTTCCTAGGAGTACAAGGATAATTCAACATCCCTGATTTGGAGTTTGTACAACACCCTCCACCAGCCCCCCCAAAAAAAGAATCAAGCAGTTTTAAACAAACTGTGGATTTGTTTTCTTGGGCAACAGAAAGCTAGCACTGGTGTCCTGAGGCTTGTTGCTGCTCTGTGTAGCCAGGACCAAGAGCACTGTCTGCCCATCTGTGCTGGCAGCTGGCATTCCCAACTTGTCACTCCTGTATGCAGAAGGGAACAGGCAAAGGGGGAGAAGGTACCACCCCAAGGTGCATGGAGAGAGTATTCTTACACACTGCATTTCCTCAAATCCCATGGACCCCGCTGTTTCAGATGGCTGCTGTAGTCTCAGTAAAGGGAGGTTGGAAACGGTGGGGCTCTTAAGATACACATGTAGCCATGCCCATATTGGTTTTCTTACTGCTTTGATGAAACACTTGGCCTAAGCAGTGTAAGGAAAGGTTTATTTGGGCTGACAGTTCAAGGGGTCATCCAAGTGTTGTGGGCTATGTACACACGGTTCGTCGACGTATTGCTGTGACTGGTGTAATAAAGAGCCGAACGGCCAATAGCTAGGCAGGAGGTATAGGCGGGACATCCAATAGCTAGGCAGGAGGTATAGGCGGGACGTCCGAGCAGAGAGTCTGGGAAGAAGAAAGGCGGAGTCGCCAGTCAGACTTGAGGAAGGCAGGATAGGCAGTACAGAGGTGAGGTAACACCACGGAGAAGAACACAGATTAGTATAAACAGATCAATTTAAGTTACATGGGCTAGTGGGACAACCCTAAGCTAAGGCCGGGCTTTCATGGATTCATAAAAAGTCTCTGTGCTGCTATTTGTGAACTGACAGCCCAAAGGAAGGTCCAACTACACCCACGATAGTGGGAACGATGCGGCAACAGGAGCATGATAGAGCCAGGTACGTTGTGTCTACAGCCAGAAAGCAGAGAACAGTAAATACTGAGTGTTCGGCTCACCTTCTCCTCTTGATACAGTCCACATGTGGAGTGAGCCTTCCTCCCTCCATCACCCCAGTCCAGGAAATTTCTCATAGGCATGCCCGGAGACATGTCTCTGAGGCAATCCTAGGTCCCGCCTCGTTGACAATCAAGCTTAGCTTTCATAATGCCAAAGATAGCTGGCAGTCTCTGTCAGCATCACACGTATTAGACAGATCCCTGCACAACTTCTACTGTGTGCCGATTCCGATCTACTGAAGGAGATCCACGTGGGTTAACCTAATATTGACGATGAAGACGAAGGGGAGAGAAGCAAGGAAATAAGGTGACAAGTGTGACTGACTGTCAGCACCATCGATCAAACCTTTGAAGTCAAGAATGTCGAAAATAAGGCCAGGGAGGACTGGAGCCCAGTGATAGATATGCCCAGGTGCCCGAGAATCCCAGAAATGCGGCGTGACCATCTAGTCAGTCTTGTCTGTCTAGTCCGCACACTCCACCACTTACGGACATGGCACCGGGTACAGGTCTCCGCCAGACGACAGACAGCGGCTCGGGGCACGTCCTGAAAAGAGGTTGTCAGCCGCTGACGTGCTCGCGTGATGGTGGCGATGTCCCCAGGAGGGTGTGCCACGTCGCCCGTTCAGTGGAAGTTTAGAAAACGTGAACTGGTCTACAGTGACGAAAACCAGGTCACCGGTCTGATCGCGGACAGGTGGGAGGTGGAGCTTGAGGATTTCAGGGGGAAGTCACATCTTCTCTGTGTTGCTTTCTGTCACTATGATGAACACCTGAGATAATCACCCTACAAGGAGAGGGTCCCAGATTTGGAGGGCCGTGGTGGGGTGGCTAGGCTGATTTGGGCTCGGGGCGAGGCAGCACATCATGGTGTGTTTTATGGCAGAGCAAACCACTCAGCCCTTCCCAAGCCTGGGAGTAAAAACAGGAGGAAGGAGCTAGATCCCACAGCCACCTTCAAGGGCATGTCCCTACCCCCACACCCTCCATTAGGTGTTATTCCTCCCAGCGGTTCCCCTAGGGAGCCAACCCTTCCACAGATGGGACACAGGGGACATCCAGATCCTTGGTCTGTATTGCGGGGATGGCTTATGGATGATGCATGCACATTCTCTACTTGGAGAGGACCTCTTGGTCACCTCTATGCTGCAGGCATCTGTGGGGAAAGACTGTAGTACCTTTAGGAACCACTTCTAAGCCCCTCTGACTGTCTGTTCTTGACTTTCTTTTATGGATTTACCAAAGCAGGTCCCCATTGTGTGTGACTGTGGGTGGGGCTTGTTAGCTACGACTCCATCCTGAACATCACCAGATCCCTATGTCAACCTGATGCTCACTTACCACCAGCTGGTCCTATAGTTTCAAGGTCCTGCAAAGCACAGAGCTAAACTTCTAAGAGCTCCTCCTGCAGGTGGCTTGGGCCTGACCACTCAGTGGAGACATGTCACAAAGCAGAATATCTTGCTTGTGCCATGGGACCTCCTAAGCAGCAGGCTGGGGGGTTCGTCCAGCCATCTCCCAAACTTCTAGACGGGACATTGTACATGGTATTCAAAACCCTTGGTGGGGGGAGACAAATGTGTCCTTAAAAACAGTCTTGCAAACTAGTATGGTAGCTCATATCTGTATTCCCAACAACTGAGAACCTGAGACAGCAGTACCATGAGTTCAAGGCCAACTTGGGATACAGAATGAGATCCTTGTCCCAAAAAATTAAAACCACACAACCACACACACAAAAATAAATAAATCAAATTATATCCAGACTGTTCTTCGCACCTGAGTCTAGATTTTGTTTAAATATTGAACACAAAACATTTAGAAAATAAACTCCTAGAGGTCTACTCTCATTATAAAATACAGATTTCCGTGTTTACCTAGGGAGAGATCCACACACCCTCCCATCTTCCTTCCGTGACAAGTGTGCAGAAGTGTGTTTGCTGACACAGAATTACCACGTGCACACACAGTACGTCCTCCGCCCTTTTTTCCTCTCTGCAGTCTGGGTGGCTAGCCACTGGGGTTCACGGGGCTCACGGCTGTGGAGGCATCTTCCCATGTGACGGTTTCAGGTCGCACTGCCCCCTAGTGCCAGCGCATGAGCCAAATCTTTCCTTCTTTTTGTAACTTTATCATTACAACGCCCCAGGCCTCAAAAATCTCACCTTAATATTGCCTACCTCCCATAGGCCCCACTTCCAAATACCACCACTGTTAAGAATTTGGGGGTGTTTCTAACCCATGAACTTCTGGGAGGCACATTCGGTATTGTCAGTTTCTGTGTGGTTTAGACTTCATATAAGCAAGGTCATGTTACTCTAGACTTGCATCTTCCCCGTTTATCGCGCTCCTGACACGTGGCTCTTACAGCCATTCTCAGGTCTGTAAA